CCAGACGGGCCCGCTGCGACCGGTGGTCCTGCTCCTGGCCCTGCTCCTGCATCCTGCTTGGGCTGTAGTGTAGCGGGTATGATAGGGTTCGCATCGAAGGTGCCTATGAGGGGCCGGGATATAAAGTAGACGAGCCATGGCTGGGCATCGAAGGAGTCGGGGTAGAAGATGGTATCGCTCAAGAGCTGCGCCTGGTTGAGTGTCTTGAATCCTGTGTCATGTCAGCACTTGCAAGTCATTCCGTGACACACGACGTGTATGCGCACCTTTGTTGCTATAGATGAAGGCATCCTTGACTATCACCGTCCGGCCATTTGCAGTGGTAAACTGCTTCGCCTTCCCCCGCGTTTCCCTGAAACTACCCGAGTCCTTGGGATGATTGTTCGGCCCCACTCCGCCGGGTACGCGCAGCACATGGCTTGCGAGGAAGTCTTCGGAACCGCTGAGGTCGATGTACGAGGTGTTTGATTCCTTGTCGCGCGATGTGAGGAGGACTTCGGTGGTGGGAACGAGAAGGACCTATGTCATGCAGGGTCAGTTTTATGTCTCCCTGTACACTGCTATGTATCGTACGTGGTGCTGGGCTGGCTGGCACTGGCTGGGGAGTGCACTACGGAAGAAGGCCCGTAAGAAGGGATTCAGCACGGGAGGCATTCAATCGACATAAACAATCGTCTGGAGGTGTTTCGGCATGCGCGGAGCATGCGGATTGGCAAGGACGGCCACGCGATCTGGTGTAGACGTCAAAGTGGCTGTCGTGGTGAATAGGAGCCTGGTGCGATGATTCGGAATGCGATGGATGGCGGAGGCGAGGAACAGCGACGGGAGCGTATACGGCGGGTGCGCAAGGAGCGGAAGTAGTGCACGCTTCGGGGCTAATGCACAAACAGGCGATAGACAGCAGAGGGCTCGCAAACAATTGGGATGATGGCTGGTACCAGAGGCTCCAGGTCCATTGGCTTGTGAAGGTGAGCTGATGCTAGCCCGCCCTCGGTTAGCGCTGAACGCGACTCTTTCGTCATCGCTCCCGCTCTTCCCCAGCTTTGTATCACGACGCCACGTCGGCACAAATCCACAGGGGATGCAGGTAGGCGCGTCAATGCTCTGCAGTACGCGCTTTTCAAGGTCACCGTCTACGACAATGTTTGTCGATGGTCTCGAAGCGCGTTGCAGTCATCGCTACGCCACGCTGTGTCTCGATTGCTGCCATACAGGGTACGCGTATTGTCGACAAGACAAACGCTATCAGCGATAAGCACTACTTGATTACAGGCACAAGTGCTCATATATGTCACCACTACATCTCTAGCTTGTGAGGGGTGGTTCCAGGGACCTCTAACGGAACCCTCGCAACACCACAAACGACAATTTGTCGCAACCCATACCAAAACATACGAGCACTAACACAAAAGGAAGGTTTGGATATTATCGTATTTCCGCACTCAGCGACGTGCTTTTATCTATCATTCGCTAATAGTCTATCAAAAGAAAAAGAACAAGAGAAGAAGAAAAACGCTCACGTCTACTTGGTACTCTTCTTACAAAGCTTGGTACCATAGTCCATAACACTCCAGTTCTCCGTACCAGGCGTCGTCTCAGTAAAGAAGACACCCTCGGGATCATACTTCTGGCGTATCTTCAACAACCTGGGGTAATTGCCTCCCCAGTACGCTTCCTGCCAGTTCGGTTCATTGAGATCGCCCTCGTTCACATAACTCGCACCAGCGGGACTCACATCCCGGAGTCGCTTACCCAGAACATTGGTGTTGAAGTTCTCGCGTTCCTTTCTAACGTCCCAGGGCTCGTTGCCCGTCATCATAACGTTGGTGATGACGAAGCTACTGGCGTTGCGCCACGTGGGATGAATAGCATTGTCGACCTTGGGATAAGCGCGGCCGGGGTTGACAATGTGACCGACGTTGAAACCGAGTTGGGTGGGCTCGGGCATGGCGGCGTAGATGAGAGCGTCGGCGATTGCGTCGCCGTGGGCGCTAATGTCGGATTGTGTAAAGAGGCGGCCGCCGACGACGGATTGTTGGTTCGGGGGCTCGTCTTCGAACATGTCAACGTAGAACTCGAAGAAGGTAGGGAAGGCGCGAGTGTGGGTGTCGTAAGGCACTTTGGCCGCGTCTAGCTGCTCGTATAGTGGGGCGAGGACCTTTCCAAGCTGCTCTTCGTTCATGTTGGGACCAACGAAAGGTGCAATGTGGAGACGCTGAGGACCAGGGCCGAGCTCAAAGTACACGAACATGCCATGCTCGCTGTAGTGGTTGGCCAGGTTGTGGAAGATGTGAACACCCTTGGCGAACAGCTCAGTGTCGTTGGTGTGCGTAGAGTTGATGTTGAGGATCGTGCCAGCAACAGGGACTTCCGGGAAGGTCTTGACAGTGATGGAGATGACAACAGCAAAGGAGCTGGGGCCGCCACCCTTGAGAGCCCAGAAGAGGTCCGAGTTCTCCTTTGCGTTGGCGGTCACGAATTTACCCTCGGCGGTGACGGCGTCGAACGAGAGGACATTGTCAGCGCCCATGCCGTAGATTCCGGAAAGAGGGCCGTGGCCGCCTCCTTGAATGTAACCTCCGGCCCAGCCAACCGTCTAGGAAATGTTAGTGATGGTTTCAGACGTCCGGATCGATACACATACTGGGCACTCTCCACCAACGATGACCACCTTGGGGCTCTGAGCAAAGCATTCCCTGTACAATTCACGGCCTTGTACACCAGCACCGATAATGGCCGCACTACCCGTCCAGTCACCAGGCCCAGTGTACTTCTTGAGGAACTTGACGTCCTTGAAGCTGTGGGTGTTGATGATGAGTGCGCCGTAACCGGTGGAACGACCCATGAAGTCGTGACCAGTGTTTCGGATGATCAGACGGAGGTTGCGCTCCCGTGCGAACTTCACACCAGCTCGGATCTGCTGCTTTGTAGTTGCCATGATGACGTATTTTCCGTAGAAACCACGTGTGCAGGTTCCCGATGGATCATCAGTTGGCATGCAGGTGTTGTTCGTCTTGAAAGGCCAGAGCTCGGCAATCGGATGGTCGGTGCTGGCATTATGTTAGTATCGATCTTTGTATCCCTTGGGAGGGTTGATCATACAGCCATTGCTCGTTGCCCCAGTTGGCCTGAGTATCCGCACACTTTGCCGCATCGTACACGCTGGTGCCGTTCTCAAAGTTCTTATAGCAGACAGCACCGGGTGGGATGGCGAGCTGAAGTGCGCCTGAGACGGTCTGGTTGAGTTTCGCCCAGTCTGCATTGGTCGGCCAGCAAGCGTTGTCGGAGTAGCATTTGCCTAGAATACAGTGATCAGCATGCATTCGAAGAAGAAGAAGCAAAACGTGGTAGTAGCTTACATTGGTAGTCAACACCATCGACCTTCTTGACTTCACCAATCCATTTGGCGCCCAAGACACCATTGGTCGCCAACAGCAGAGAAGCGAACAACGAGAAGCGACCCATCTTGACGGAAAGTTTGGTACAGAGTCGATCAACTGGATCCAGACTACCAGTGGGATGCCCGACTATTTATTTCCATCGTAGCTCGATGACCTTTACAGTCCCTTGCTTTAGCCTAGTACTCCTGCTTCTCTACACTGGGGCTAGAGCTTCATCAAAGACACGGGACGCCCTGCTGCACGGCCACCTGCCTTGAAATTGAACTAATACCAGCAGTAGTCAAGAACGACTTCTCCTAGACTGCGTACCGTCTTCCAGGCCAAGGGTACCTGGAAATATGCAAGCCACACTCAACAGCGGGAGAAGAACTACAATAGGTAATTAACTCGCCCTAGAACGGATCGTCGGTACCGGGCCGCTGGGAGGCCACAGACTAGTTGGCATGATTGGAGTGTTTCTATTCATCCGGGTAATGTTGGGGGCCTGGTAGACTGTGTGCCAAGACAATGGTGCTCCTATAGCTTTTTCTGTTCGCCACGAGGTTGATTCCAGGGACTGTCTATCATCTCGTGATTGCCACGTTATCCATGTGGGCGAGGCTGTTGTGAACTGCCGTAGCGATACGCTGTACTCGGACGCATGTCCGGTGTGGTAGTGTTCTTGTGTAGCAGTGGGCCTCTGCTAGCCAAGCCGGTACGATCTAAACGTTCGACTATTATAGCCGCGCATGAGGGATCTCGCGTGGCGATAGTCGCAATATGCCCCGTAAGCATTGAATCTGGAATCCAATCAGGAATGATTGCAATGCTGTTTCGTTCAAGGCATGCAATCAACGCGCGCTTACGCTCATATATAGAACAACGGCAAGTATCTCTCTTGTCAGACGCAGATACATCTTGGGGGTCCCCTGATCTACAAGAGAAAATGTCCGCGCTTATGGGTTCAAACGATGGGGTACCATACGATATTGGACGAACGATGCGGCGCAGTTCAAGAGCCTCGTCTGTAGGATTTAAGTTTTCGGTTGCATCGACCGTACCATGCAGTATATTTAGCCTCGGAATAGCAGCTCTCTTCGAAATAGTCTCCGCATGTCCCCGCGGTTCGCAACTCCACTTTGAGTCGGGGGGCAAGGGTCCAGCGGCTAGCTTCCGGAGAAGCGCGATTGGGCCCTGCGTATCCCGCAAGTGCTTGACCCGCCGCTCCAAAGTCTTCTTTCGCTCAGGGATGGAGCTTTAGAAATACCATCGGCGTTTCCTGCGGTCGTTCTCTGTCGTTCTAACGGAGGCGATGAGACGACGGCCATCTAGCTGATCGTCGTGATCGTCGATGGTAGCGCCGGTTCCATGAGTCCGCAGGTCCGGGAGACAGGACATGACACGCATCCGAGCCGTGCCTTGGTTCTGAACTAGATTCAACGCTAGCATCTCTCGTTCGGCACGTATTCCATGTGAAAGCCAGCAATGAGGCTTCTTCACTACAGCCACCATCGGCCGAGGTAGGTGCTCACCTCCGCATTTGGAAGTTGGAGCTTGAGAGGCAAGGTTTCGCTGCCAAAACAATCTCCCCTGCTTCCTGCTTCGGACCAAAATCTTTGCTCAACGTACGGCTTCATCCGCCAGGCGAGTTTCGATATGTCTGCCGGTCTCGTAGCTCAGTATTTGCAGTTCCGGGAAGTCATGTCGAATTCGACTCCGGGTGACCCTACTCGCTCCTGCGATCTGGGAAGTACCGTCTTCCAGCTCTACCAACTTCTTCACGAAGCATTGTTGTGGCGCACGGTCTACGCCACAGTCAGAAGTATCTCGTCCTTGCTTTGCATCTTCAGTCACCTGCCACGCCTCTTGGTGGAAATTCTCTTCATAAGTACCCCATATGAGAACCTCAAGTAAAGGACATCGATGATGCGCCCATTGGAAGAACCGTGTAGCGAACTCTTGATGAATTTCGCAAATATGCACTTGAGGAGTGGATGGACGCACAGTTCTAACTCGGTCCTGGTAAAGATGTAGGATCTTGAGATTCTTGAGTCTTTCGATTGGTTCCTAAGACAGGTCATGAACGCTGCAGTAGGCAACACCGGGAAGCAGTCTGAACTCACCAGAATCTTGATTACGTAGGAAAACCTTTTCTCCGCCTCACTTCTAGGGATATCGAAGTCATAGAAACACAGACCGAGTTGTTCCAAGGCGCTAAAGTGACTGCATATCTGTTGAAACTCTGGTTCAACTATAAAAGGAAAGTGCTCGTTATCCCCCTCACGATATAGATCTAACAGTGAAAGCGTCTTGAGCCTCGGATGCAGCGGCCACAGATATGGTGTTGCATCTGGTGTATCTTGGGGGTCCAGAGATACACTGTGGAGGCCATTGATGTGGAGACGGAGGTGCTGAAGACTTTGGTTCTTCAAAAACAGCGCTCTTGCGTTCTCGCCTGCAGTTTCATCGAAATGTTCTGGGGTCCGTATTTCGACGTCTGTCAGGTTCTGTAGTTCGCGTGAGCTGGATAGGTGTTGCAGTAGATCCAATTTGCAATCTGAGAGAGCTAGCTTAGTCACTCGCGACAAATCGAAGACGTAAGGGAGGGCAGAATCGAACGTGTCAGGCATACAACCATCAAGCATGAGTGTGCGCGCTACAATCTTCTGGTCTGCAAATGCACTAATGTTGTGACCATCGCCCCAGTATTTATGAACTTTCTGGGTCCATCCCTCCAGGAAAAGTATCGAAAGTGAATCGAGCGCAGGTAGTGCTAGAGCAAACTGCAAAAATTTATGTGTCTGGTCGTGTTCTCCGCGGAAAGCAACAGTAACGCGACGCGTTTTTGGGGATATGAGCTTGCGGGAGTCACCACGCAACACGTGCAGACTGTCGATAGACTGCTGGTGCTCTTTGAGAAGGCTTACGAGGTTCGGGTCCATATAACCATGGTCCCAAGCAACGTAACTGCGTATCTGTCAGTCTACTAATCTACTATAATCACATCGGATTTCATGTCAACAATGTCTACCGGTGAGTCAACATGTCCTTGGGCAGGGTTTTGCCTCCATGGTCTAGATACGATGATTATGCGACCGTAACTTTCCAGCAGACTGTAACTTTCCAGCGAGATGTGACTTTCCAGCAAATTGTCAGCTTACCGGAACTCTCGGAGCTTGTTGGAGGGGATATCTTGCAAAATCCCTGACATCAAAGCATTTCTGGTCGCTTCATCCATCGGACAATCCGCTGATGAGACGGTTCCAAACTCCCATGGCAGTAAGTTGAGTAGGCTCAAGCTTCGTGTGTGCACCAAGTGCTTTCGTGCGCCAGAATCAACACATTGACGGAATAGAGCCAGTTGGCCGTCCTGAGCACGAACTTCGAGCACAACCCTCCTGTACAAGTACTCTGTGGCGATGCGATTCCAGCTCTTTGAAGTCAGGCAAAGCGCCTGTAGATCAGTGTAGAGTGAGAGCTGATGGACTAAGTCAGCGACCGATCAACTGCTGCGCCAGGCAGGTGTCGTGAATGCGGGGTTCGCACATAACCCAGTATAATTCGCTTCACATCTTCAACGAGCTCAACTCTAGAAGAAGGGTTGCTTATGTGGCTGCTCATATTGCGAGGGATGAGGCGGGAAACTGCGTAATGTATGGAAGCATGAGCTGTGGATGGGGTGCGAGGATGTGTCATGTGACTTCGTGTTAGCGACTGAAAGGCGTACTGAGTGGATACTGCGAGGTCGTACAACTGATATGGCAGTTGCGACTATGCCGCACGCACCACACCACAACTTCCTCCAATACGGTCCCCTTCTTGCATCACTGCAGCCCGTCATGCGCTCTCTGGCGACCGAAATCTAGCCGTTTATATTGGAGTGTGTTGACTGACCTCAAATCTCTCAGTGCAATATCGATACATTTTGGTGAGTTTTTCCTGCCGCCAGTGCAGCATACTACCTATCTACGCTTCAACAGTGACGATGCCGGAGGGTTTTCTTAAAGTATCCCTGTAAGCAAGGTAATGCAGCTGAACCTGCATTCGAGACGAGAACACGTACGATCTCACGGTGAGTCCAATTGTCTCATTGTCATGTTCTGATATCATCTAGGGTATACACACATGCTTTCCAAGACCCAAACATTAGCTATTGTGCATTTGGCCTAAACACCGGCATCCCATTCTTCTTGCCCCAACCCCAGACCTTGCCATTCAGATCTGGCACCATGATCAACCAAACAATTGTCGCGATCCAAGCTCCTATCGTATCAAGAACCACATTGTTCCTCTGACTACCCGATATAGAGCCCCAACGCATCAAATGCACCAACCAATTCGTAGGCGTCATGAAGTCGCCTCCTTCGAGTCCTTTGATGGCTGCCGTCGCAGCTTCCAGCTCAGTCTGCTTGGGATCTGAAGACTCTAGCTCGAAGCTCACGGGATGCTTGGTCTTGTTCTCGTTTTCAAAGCCAGGTGATAGTATACTGCCCGGAAAGACGACATGAATATCGACATCAAAAGGCGCGGGTATGGCGCTAGTGGTACCCGTCTTGGAGCGTCGCGCTGCGTTGTAGAGTTGTACCTCTGAACGGAGGCCGTCGGCAAGGGAGCGGATAGCGGCTTTGGCGGGGGAGTAGGCGGAGTAGCCTGCTATGTTCATGAAGGCGAGCGCGGACGAGGTCATGATGAACTTGCGAGGTGGTTCTGGTGCAGAACTCTTTTCTTGCGACTTGTACGGCACTTCGGGGTAGAACCACGCCTGGAGTGTCTTGTGTGCCATGTATGCCGAAGCGAAATAGTTGAGTTCCATCTGTCTCCTCAGCGTCTCGGTGCTCGTCTCGATAAACAGGCCTGGTACTGAGGACCCCGCGATACACCAAACGATCTCCGGCATACGTCCATTGTTCCAGGCCGTTGCTTCCTTGAGAATCCGGGCGTTCTCAGCCTCGGAGGTTACGTCGGCGGCGATGGAAGTGAAGCGCTGGGTGGTTGGGTTCTTTGCATGGGCTTTTGCGTGTGCGAGGGCTGTCTCGAGGTTCTTCGCTGTGCGTGCGACGAGGATGAGGTTTGCGCCGCGGGCTGAGAGGAGACGAGCGATCTCGCTACCCATCCCCTGGGATGAGCCGGTGAGCAGAACCGTCTATATTCACTGTCAGTATGTAAGCGAACTAGACAAGGTGGTGCATTGCTTACTCTCCCCTCTACAGGGAATTGATTGCCTTTCCAGAATGCGAAACCCATGATGTCTGCGCTTGTTATTCCGACAAGCACCAGGAGTATGATGGTGGCCCCTAATAACAGTTGCGACATGGGGATTGAGACTTGTCGTTTACCGACAGGTGGTAATTGGCGCGCCTGAAATCTGACAATGCTTACGCTGCCAGCATGTACCGCAGTGCTCAATGGGTGCTAGTCCACCAATATGCAGTACGGTGACAGGTGAATTCACATGTGGAGCTAAGGGTGCAGGGCTTAGCTCCACTGGTGGGGACCTTCCGACTCCCGCGGCGAAGCCAAGATTTCCTGCCGAAAAAAAGTTACCCGCGATGTTTGCGACCAAACGTATACGCCACAACACAACGCAGCACATATCGCAATCATGGCAAAGAAGAGGAAGGCTGGTGGTGGCGCATCGCGCGCGCCCAAAGCGCCAAAAGAAGAGGATTCTCGAATGAGGATCAACACGTTTGAGGATGTCGCGGATTCCGAGGACGAGTTCCACATGAATCGCGATAAGATACTGTTGGACGAAGGGCCGGCGGCCAAGCGGATGAGGAAGTATCAGGAAGAGGGTTTGTCAAGTCATGCCGTATGTATTGGATGCGAAGACTGACTTGAAACTAGACAAATTCCTACAGCCCTCTGACGAAGAAGTACTCGACGCCGGCAGCGACGAAGACGACGACGACGAAGATGACGACGACGACGACACCGGTGATGAATCAGAAGACGATATCACGGGACAGCGCAAACCAGCAGACGAAGATGAAGAAGAAGACGTGGGTGGATGGGGCGCCTCGAAGAAGGACTACTACGACGCCGATGCGATAGAAACGGAGCAAGACGCGCTAGACGAGGAAGCGGAAGCACGGCGCATACAAAAGAAGCAGTTACAGAGCATGACAGAGGCAGACTTTGGCTTCGACGAGGACGAATGGATGGCGGAAGATGGCGAGAAGGCTGCCGAAGGTGGCGCTGTAGTGACAGAGGTTCTGCCGCAACTCCAAATCACCGACAGCATGTCTGAGGAAGAGAGGATGAAGATTATGCGGACACGATACCCCGAGTTCGAGCACATTTCGAAAGAATACCTGAGGCTACAGCCGCTACATGAAGAATTGGCCGCTGCTGCCAACGCCGCCGAAAGGGTGTTGAAGGCGCAAGCTGCGAAGTCAGGGAAGACTGGCAAAACTCTACCTACACCAAAGGCTGTCACAAAGTACAGGGCTTGCGCAGCATATCTCGCAGCCATGGCCATGTACTTTGCTGTACTCGGTTCGACTGCAACAGACGATGGATCGCCAGTCATTGCCATGGATCCTGCTGAGTTACACGAGCACCCCGTCATGGAGACTCTTCTGAAGTGCCAAAAGGTGTGGACAAGGATAGAAGACCTACCCCTCGGAGACCCCATGGTCGAGGCCGAAGACGACGAAGACGACTCCTTTGTGGATGAAATCAGCTTCGAAGAACTCGAAAACGACCTGTCCGTCAAGAAGCCCACCAAGCAAAAGAAGACGCGCGCAGAACGAGCCGCAGAGCTAGCCCGCGCAGAAGCTTCCGCTCGCCGCGCTGCAAAACTCGCAAAGACCGAAGAAGACCTTGCCTCCCTCGATACCCTCACCGACAAAGCCGCTCTCAAGAAGGCAGCCCGCAAGAAAAAGACACCAGCAGTCGAATCCAAGCTCAACCTCCTCAACGCAGACGACTCCGACTTTGGCGAAGAAACCGAACTCACCGCCCACGAAGCCGCCGAAAAGGCAAAGAAGAAGAAATCCCTCCGCTTCTACACCTCTCAAATCGCTCAAAAGGCCAACAAGCGCGACAACGCTGGTAAAGACCAGGGTGGTGACGCTGATATCCCTCACCGCGAGCGTCTCAAGGACAGACAAGCGCGTCTGCAAGCCGAAGCTGAGAAGCGAGGTCAACACAAAGATGCTGGCCCTGGTGTTGCTTTGGGCGAAGACGATGGCGCTTCTTCTGCTGATGAAGCGCCCGGTACCAGGCGCGATGACTTTGAAGACGAAGATGGGTATTACGACATGGTAGCTGCGCGGTCCAACGATAAGAAGCAGACTAAGCTTGAACGCGCTGAAGCTTATGCCCTGGCTAAAAAGGAAGGTGCTCAGGTTGTGGAGGAAGAAGTCATTGGCGATGATGGTCGTCGTATGATTTCTTACCAGATTCAGAAGAACAAGGGGTATGTTATCTTCGTGTCTATTTTATGTGTGTTGAGAGTAACTAACATTTTGTGCCAGATTGACACCTCATCGTAAGAAGAGCGTGAGGAACCCGCGTGTGAAGAAGAAGGAGAAGTACAAGGAGAAGCAGAAGAAGCTCAAGAGTATGAAGCAGGTGTTTGATAAGGGTGCTGCAGCTAAGGGCAGTGCGAACTATGGGGGTGAGCTTACGGGTATTAAGTCTGGGTTGGTTAGGAGTAGGAAGTTGTAGGTGGTTTGTTGGTAGGAAAATATTGCGTGAGTATTGCTGTGGTTATTTCATGGCGAATGGGAAAACAAGAGGGTTCGGTTTGAGCATTTCGGTCGCGATATCATGTCGACTAGCGCAGACGTGCTGTCAATCTACTGGGGAAATCATACTCGAATCGATTGACTACAGATGACTGGACTTGCTCTTCGAAATGGTATGCAAAATACTCTATCCTACGGCTACGACGATAGCCACAGCGATCTTCCTCATCACCATTCCTCTCGTCCCCAAGCTTCAAGACCAACCACCAGAATTGCCCCATCTCCCTTCCACCGTTTGACTCAAGGCTTGCTATCTACACTGAGTAGCGCTTCCGTGATCCAGCGCTTTTATCTACGGCTTCTGCTACACATCAGGGTCTTCGTATAACCCACGATGTACGTCAAGTTGGAAAGGATAAACTCAGAACCGAGTCTACATCTCACGAGACGGGCCCATTGTGTAGACATCTGGTGTCGGTTGCTGGTGCTGATAGGCAGCTGGATTTGCGCTGGAAGTCCAGTAAAAGAAGACATGGTTGAGTCGATAAGGCGGACAATACTCTGTTGCGAAGGACAGCGTGTATCCAACTGATCTTGTAAGCCATTCCCTCGTACATATGCAGAATGAGCTCGTGTTGCTCTTCCTGCTCATCGATGCTCCTGAAATCTTCGAGGAACTGCTCTGCACGGTTGCTCTCAATTCCATCGATTTCTACACAGTAGCATAACGCTTGCTTCATCCACTTGTATGCGTCGTCCATCTTTCTCATCTCTATCAGCACGACGCTCAGTTTGGCCATAACATCGATTGTGCTCCCTCTGATCTCATTCAATTTTTTGGCGTGAAGATCGATGGTTTCCAGAAGGATATTGTGAATTTCTGAAAACTGCTTTCGGGCTGTCAAGACTCTACAGAGATAGGTCTTGCATCTCAGTGTTTCCTCATGTTCGATACCAAGCAGCCTTTCTGACATCTTCGCTGTGTCCCTGAGCAAGGCCTCGCTGTCAGCATACTTGTGCTGGTGGTAGAGCAATCTACCAAGTTCGCACTGCATGACACATTGTTCCCAATCAGAAATGCCCGTAGCGTTCGAGCTGAGTTCTAGCGCAACTCTCAATAGCGCTTCGCTTTCCGAGTGTCGCTTTGTTTCAGTCAGCAGGATGCAGAGCTTTCGTATGACTTGTATGGTTTTGCCATGTTTAGGGCCGGAGATGGTCAATCTGATCTGGAAAAGATCCCTCAGAAGTTCCTCCTCACTCCCAAAGTCATGCATGGATGCAAAAGAGTTTGCTAAGACGCGGGCAGCCTCCTGATACAAGAAGCTGCTCGGAAAAAATCTTCGTGCCAGAACATGGGCCTCTTGAGCTATTTGATTGCCCTCTTGAGACCTTCCAAGATGAAGAACCGATCCAGCGAGATGTACCTTAGCAGAGATATAGTCCCAAGAGTTTTGTCCATGTATTTGCTCGAGTACCGGCAGAACTTGTTTGTACTGGTGTTCAGCTTTGTCGTAGTGGCTAAGGTTGTAATATGCATTTGCCGAACTCCATCTCAATTCCGTCGTAGTGATGTTTGACCCCAAAGCAGCGCTCTCCAGCTTATCGATCTTGGCAATGCAGTCGTTCAGTGTCATGCGATCGACGTCGTATTCCGTGGCGATTGGTTGTACCTCGAGCCACCTTCCTTGGTCCTGTGGGAATGGGTAGACCTCCAGTGAGAACGGATCTAGCTCAACCACTCTGGATGATGAGAAGATCACATCGACAGAAGGGTATTTGAGTGCGCCAGTTGTAGTGCGCTTTCTTGAGCTGCATTGGTAAGACACCAATATGATAGTTCCCTGTTGAGCCTTCTCTTCGTTGTGGTAACGGGTGACCTCAGTGCTGCCTGAAGAAGCCGTTTTGTAAGGTTTAGCCTGCTTGTCGACCCAAGTCACAATTCCCCCGTCATGGCTGCATGCCTCTAAGTCTTGCAGGCAGACAGTATCGGTTGCAGGTGTGAGCACCTCTGCTACAGCTTGGGTTGGTGGGATGTGCAAGGGGATGTTTATGGGATTCATTTTCAGTGCCGAGAAGAGACGAGTCACTATATCGACGTCGCGATCTGAAGATTGTAAGGGACTAGGCGATACGAAGTGTTGTTCTGTCTCTTGGACGGTACCGATGTTTACATGAGCATTCGATAGAGAACCTAATGGCTCGGACGAGCCCATCAGGAGCGCGCTTGGAGAGAATCCAGGATTCGTAGCTTCGGTTGAGGAGACTGACAATGACGGAGAGGGTTGGTCTTCTGTGCTACCGTAATGCGTGAAAGAGTTGACTTGGTCTTTCGGTGGCTTCGAGGGCGACACGATCAACATATCTGAGCTCTGTTCATGTCTCGAAGTACTCGGAAGATCTGTTGAGGAATTGCACGATACACTGTCTGAGTGCGTGACACTAGAGGGCGTGTCGAACGCCTCGACGGCGTTCTTGGTACGAGTGCTTTTCTGCTCCTCATTAATTCTTGCTCTTTTCTCCCAGCGTTCGCATTTGGCCGCAGTAATCCGGACTCCATTTACAGAAGCTTCTTCTTCTCCCCGCAAGTCTTGTGCTTCCAGCAGATATGCCTCTGTCTCGTGTTGCTTAACGTTCTTCTTGAAGCTCCAGTCATGGAACCGCTTGGTGAGCTGCTTCTGGCTATAAGATTATCAGATAAGCTATTTAGTAGGCATGGACCATGATAAGTACCTGAGATTAAGGCCATGACGTTCGAGAAGAGCCTTCCTGGTGGCTGCTAAGGTTCTGCTCTCCTTAATGTAGAGTGTGTGTAGTAATGGCTTCAAGGTCTCCCACTCGGCGTCGGAAAGCTGCCTGGCCTTACTCCCCGGATGATTCGATGATTGAGGAATAGGCAGTAGCTGTGTCAAGATGCCATGTGAATTCTGGATTGGTTCAGGTAGTGAGTGCAACATGTCAGGCGACTGTAGCAAGGCTGAGCCGGAGTTGCCAAGGCTGACACTGACGGGATGAACTTGAAAATCTGTACGATACATTGATGCAGTGGTTCACAGGTGAAGGTGATGGTTTGTAGCCCAGTTCTTAACCTTGAATTGGCGGAGGGTAGGAAAGAGCAATGAAGCTGACGTGCGGGATGCTCAATGATTAAAGCACTACGACCTGAGGCCATCTTAGCTGCAAGGCACTAAGTGATTGGTTGTCAACAAATTTCCTTGCATGAGCTGGGGGCTGAATGTTGCATCGCCGACCTATCAACCACTTCGAAAAGTTGCCTTGCATTAGCGCCACATAGCCCTATGAACACGAAGCTTGCACGTGATTTGTTTGCCGACGTATCTACACCGTTAGATCAGTTTAGCTGCCAGATGAGTGTCGGCTAGCCCGAATGAAAAGTTTCCTTGCATGAAGCGGTGGGAATTGAGGACCGGTGTAGCAACGGCGGACTAGCCAAGCATGATAAAAAGTTACCGTGCATGAATGTTTGAAACAGAGACTAATAGCGAGAAGACGCTGGGTTGTAGCTCATTGAATGATAGGCTGGACACCTACAATCATGTCGTTTCATAGCACCATGAACGAGAAACATCCCGCATGAGTCCGCTCCGGAGGCGTAAAGAAAGACGGATGAGCCACGACATGGGCTGAAGAGCACACAACTGAGCGTAGGCTTGTTATAGATTCCATCATACCTGGTAAGGCTCAATTGACTTATATGTCCATCTCAAGACCCATTCATATCACCTCGCATAAACCATCTGAATCACCACTACCCACCTACTATTTCCATCAGTCATTGCAGCTAGCAAGCACAATACGACTTACCACGATGGATCCGATGAGTATCACCGGCACCGTCCTTGCCATCGTGCACATCACCGGTATATGCCTGAAGTCGGGTAATCAGCACCTCGGTCCCTCGCGCCACACTTCCACCACACTTCTCAGTCTCATCCAAGAGCTTTACTGCTTTTACGGTGCTATCCAGAGCCTCAAGACTCATCTCACGATCAACGAGCACGATACCATCCGACTTAACTCGCTGGACTGCCTGGCAGGGCCATTATCAGACTGCAAGCTTGCGCTATGTCTCGTGGAAAAGCAGCTGGAAAATGATACGTTCTTCAAGCGGAAGCTTATCGGTAAACATTGCGATAAGAAGCTGGACGATGCTATCAATGTGCTGAAGAAAGGACGGGGTCTGTTTGAGACTGTTCTGTTAGCAGATCAAAGGTAAGACCCCTGCGCGATGTTTTCATACTTTTCAAGGTTGCGATTTCATTGCACCGTCTCCGGAAGTCTTGTGCACCAACAGCCATCTGTCGCATGGTTTAACTTCTCGCAGGACTATCACCACCGCTATTGAGAGATACATCATCAACATAGCCGAAGACATCCGCGATATAAAGAATAAGCTTGAAGGTGACGGAGAGCTCATGCGAGGGCTCACCAGACAGCTCACTCTTCGGCTGGAGACGGCTAATGAACGGGAAGAAGAGATGCGATCAACACTACGAGAGATTGACAACAAGTTGCTACGAGAGCGTGAGAGTAGGCAAGGAGAAAACCGGAGGCGGAGATGGTCGAGGTGGATTGCTATCGCCAGCCAATCGGCTTTCCAGACTGCGATTCAGCTAGCGTTCACCAGCCTGCTCGCGACAAATAGTAGGGTGTGATTAATACTTGTAATCTTATATCTCTATCCTTTCCTTGTTCGGGAATGGATCAAAAGAGCTCTAGATGTTGTTTCTCTTCTCCTGGCATCTTTCGAGTACTGATGCTCTTGTTCGATATCAGTGTTGCGATGCCTCCGTCTGCCGTCTTCAATTCGATGCTCGGTGTCTTTGCAGTTGGTTGGTTGTAGCCAGTAGTTCATGCGGAGAATTCGAAAAACCTTAATGAATGAAGAACGTTGTGTCCGGTCTGATGGGTGCAGCGTCTCTCTGGTGTTGCTCCATGAGGTGAGGAATGAATGCCGCGCCCAGGTACTGAACGTGGTCGGATACCCCTCTAGCAGACTTGTTAACAATCAAGCCAAGCAAGCTAGGTACCCCAGCTTGGCTTAATTGTTGAGTGCCTCTACTTTAGCTTAGCTTAATTAGCTTAGTAGGTTAAAACAAGCCAGCTTAATTGTTTAGCTTAATTAGCTTAATAGTTAAAGCGTTTTTAAGGCTATAAAAATAGGTAGTATTAGCTATATTGTGACTTTTTTTAGAGTTAAGTTTCTAAATTGCTGTTAGTATTGCTGCTGTCTCTAACGTCCTACGCGCTTACGCTGTACAACGCCTCTATCTTATTATTAGTTATAGAGTTTCTATTATTAAGTTTATTATTGCCTAGACTAGCTGTACGCTACTATTATACGCACTGTATTACTGCTAGAAGTTGTAGTTATATACCTTATTAGCAAGGCTCTAGGAGATTACCTAACTTACTAAATATACGCTTACACTCGTAGCTTAACGCTAGGATAGATAGTATGTTAAGCGCAAGCTTGCTAAGTTAAGAATAGCAATTCTGCATTAATAACTAGTATTTTATTAGGTTGTTAGCGTACTTACTGCTCTTCTCTACCCGCTGCTCGCACAGCTTCTACTAGGTATACTTATTATTAGCTGCCTTGTTGCTGTTGCTAGCAGTTGTAGAATTAATAATGCTGTTAATTGCGTTGTCTATATTGTTTAATAGTACCTTTAGGCGTTGTACAGCTAGTTAACTAGTATTATATTAAGCCTATAAGCCGCGAAAACTAAGGTTGTTAGACTTAAGCTAGCTAGATTTCTTAGTACCTTAGGATTTGTCGCAATACAATTAGTAATACAAGTAGAGTATTATAGCTGCGTAGTAGGCGGGCGATAGGTCTAATTTAGAGTAATACTTGCTAGCTTTTGCCTACGCTGCGCGTATGTTAATTGCAAGGTAGTCCTTAGGCGCCTTATTGTAGGTGTTATACTTAATAGCCTTGTAAGCTAGTACGCGCGATTTGTAGTAGTTAAGTATATACTTAAATACTAGAATAACTTTAGCAATATAGCTAAACCTTCTATTGTTGCTGCGCCTCTTAAGGCGCTTTATAGCAGCTTTTAGCAGCTTTAAAGCGTCTATATACTCTATAACTACTGCCTAATTATGCGTTGTAAGGCTGTCTAATCTTATCTAGTATAGCGCGTAAGGCAGTTTATTGCGCTGCAACTTAGCGTAGGTATCCTCGTCCTGTATACGCTTTATATAGTAGCTAGTGTACGCGTTAATTGCTAGTTAAAGCTGTACAGCGCGCTTAAAGCACAAGTAGAAGGAGTTCTAGCGTGTAATAACAGGCTTAACAGGCTTAAGAATCTTGCGTTTATTAGAAGGTGCGTTAGCTAGTAGCTTGCAATAGGTAAGGCGCTAAAAGTTAGCAAAAAGAGCGTATTGCTGTAATATTTTAATATAGTTAATAATACTTAGAAGTACGCCTAAGAGCCTATCGCGCCTCTACTTGCTTATATACTTGCTTTTAGTAGTAATCTTAGTAGTATTATTATTATATAAGGCACTGTTTTCTCCCTAGAGGAGTATCTAGCTAACAAGGTTAATTATATAAGAACTATAATAGAGGCGGCGATAGCGTAGGTTAAAGCCTATTATTAGCGCAATTGCGTCTATTGCAGTGTTGTTATTACTTACGTTATTAAGTACAAAGTAGCTAATACGTTAAGCGTTTATACTAAACTCTTTTAACGTTTAGATAACAACCTTTACTATTCTATATCTACTGTAGGCGCCTGTTAACTGCAGCAGCACAATAGGTAAGTCTATAATATCGCCTTGCTTATTAACGTAGTAGGCAATAATACCTAAGAACCTATGCTTGCTACTCTTTGTTATCTAGCTATTAAAACTTATGTGTATCTTGCTTTGTGCCTGCAATAGTTCTATAATAACTTATAGCTGTAAGTAGTTATATAGGCGCATAACGTAATAAGAGACGCTATTATAGGACGTCTATAGTACCGCTTCTGCTTAGATATTAGCTAACGATATTAATTATTAAAAAGCTAGCGATTTAAACGTAGACAGTAGGAGGTTAGCTTTAATAAGCTAGCTAACTGCGTTAAGCTAAAAGCGCTAGGAGTTAAAGCTAGAGAGCTTATTCGCGATACTCTAGCTAACCTAATTGCTAGTAAGTACTTGTTAGAGGACACTTATTGTTGTAGAACAAGCTGTTACGTAAGGTAGTTAGTAGCTATAGCCGCGTCTCTTCTCTCTAAAGTGTTAATAGGCAGAAGACGTTAAGTTTGTTATCTTATATACCTTTATAACGCTAAGGTTAATAAGCTTATACTGTGTTCTCAATACTCTAGCTAACCTAATTGCTAGTAAGTACTTATTAGAGGATACTTATTGTTGTAGAACAAGCTGTTACGTAAGGTAGTTAGTAGCTATAGCTGCGTCTCTTCTCTCTAAAGTGTTAATAGGCAGAAGACGTTAAGTTTGTTATCTTATATACCTTTATAACGCTAAGGTTAATAAGCTTATACTTATAACAATAGTAGTATACAAAATATATGCGTTAAGAATTGCTTCGCAGCGCAACGCGCTAGCTATAGTTATAGACCTAGCTTTTCTTATAACGCTGCAACGCTATAAGCTTTATAAACTAAGAGAGACAATCCTAATTAATACTATTAAAGTTATTCTCTAACTCCTTGTCTAAAGCTGTATTATTAGACTTACTAGTTGCTATTGTTGCCTCCTTGCTACCTTTAGTAGGTAGGTTAATATACTCCTCTATTTGCGACTCGCGCAATTGCGCTTTAAAACTTAATACCTAGGACGCTTTAACTAGGGCTTTACAGAGCAACAGATAAAGTAATAATTAAAGGCTTTTAATAGGTATAGCTTAGCTATAAGTGCTGCTAGGTGTAGGTTTAGAACGCTTTGTTGTTAACGCTGTAACAGCGTCTTTAGCGCGTCTCTTCTGCAGCATAACTGCAACAAGGATATAGCAATAAATACAAAAAGCTAGCAGTAATACAGCAGCGCGTAGGCGGTACGTAATACAGCTAAAAAGTACGTGTTGTAGGTAGCGTTGTGTATACAAAGTTGTACAGTTACAATATAAGATAGTTACCTAAGTAGCACAAGATATATTGCTTAGCACCCTCTATTGTAACTACTAAAGCAACTACAACAACGCAATAATTAATTAAATTTAATAGTAGCAATTAAATTATAGTTGTCTATTTGTAAGATACGCTGCGCAATATACTATAAATATTGTATTGTAGTTGTATAATTGCGCAGTTAAAACAACGCGTTTTTTTGTTATTTATAATATCTACCTTTACCTATAGTAGTAACCTTAACACTATAGATATATATAGTAATATTAGGCCTACAATTGTCTCTACTACGCCTAGCAAGCAGTAGTAGAGGTGTATAATAGCTACTGTATTTGTACTTGCTAGTGCTATAGTGTGTTGCCTACAGTCGCCTAAAGCAGGCAGCTGTTAGTAACACACTGTAGTATTAGGAGATTTTTTTTTGCTGTATTTAAATCGCGGCAGTAATAGCTCTATTGTAAGGTTTTTTTATATATATATATATATATACAGCGTTATTAGGAATTTTTTTTATATATTAGTTGCTAACCTTAACACTAAAAAAGTATTGTGTGATCGCTGCTACAGCAAACCTAATAACCTTACGCGTAGGCCTTAGCTAATTAAGCTAATTAAGCTAAACAATTAAGCTAGCTTACAGCAGCTTAGCTTAATTAATTTGTACCTCTACTCTAGCTTAGCTTAATTAATTAGCCAGCTTAATGCGCCAGCTTAATAGCGATCAAGCTGGCTTGATTGTTGACAAGTCTGCCCTCTAGTCGCATCATCTCCATCACTCTTAGTGTCTAGATCTCGAAGAATATACAGTGGTTCTCCACCATAGAACACAGCAATTTGATCTCCTGGCCGACATCCCGGGTAGGCGTATCCGATTCGACCGCCTTTTGTGCTGAAAAAGGTAAGTCCGCGAATGAATCTCAACTGGACTTGGCACTGCGCCTGTTCCCAACGACAACCAGTGTAATACCAACCCGATGGATCAGAGTACCAAGTCGTCAACTGAGGCAGAACTTCACGGTATGTATCCTTAGCTCTTTCAGTGATTCGCGAGTCCAAGAAGAATAACACGATGAACTCCTCTGGGATATCGGTAACTCTTTCGCTCTTCCCATAGAAGACATAGCGAGCTAGTTCGAGACTTCTCAGATGGCAATCAACAGCAGCATCATAAAGAGCCATGTGCTCTTCCGAATTCAGATCGTATCGATCGTATGCCACGTCAAGAGGGTTTTCATGTTCCACAACCTCTTCAATCGTGTCCACCACAAAGCCAGGGACGCGAAGCACGTTGTCATGCATCACGATACTTACGTGCTTTTGACCACAGTCCAGGATCGCGTTCTTTCTTTCTGGTGCCTTTTCCAAACTGTTCTCTTCAAACAAAGCCCAAGGATTGGTTGGCTGTCGTTCATGTATCGGATCATTCCACTCCCCATCAATTATCATCTTACAAGCTGATATTCCAGATAGATTCGGGCACCAGGATGGAAGATGTGGAGATTTAGGTTCCCGAGTAGGCGGCATCTGAAGTATGCTCATCCCACCAGGTTCGTTCATCAAAGCTTTGGCAAACATGATCCACGTCTTCCAATATTCATCCCGACCTTGAGCGCTGTAGTCAACCCATGAGCTTAACCTATCTTGAAGATCTCTTTGCAAAAGTCCTACTATTGCCCAAACACGATCGATAGGCTCTTTCACACGTCGCTCACGTAGGTCGTACAATTCTCTCCCAAGGTTATGGGCATGGATTTCCTTGGCGCCTCTGTCTCGATAGAATTTGATGGAATAACAGGTATTCAACGCGGGTGTATCGTTTGTACCGAATGCGATCCTAGATGTGTACCAGAAATAGAGGCTGTCGAAGCATCCGTCATTGAAAAAGTTTGAAAGCTCATCGAAATTCATCAAAAGATCACCGCAAAGTATTCTTGCGCTAGTTGGAAGAATAATCTCCTGGTATGTCCATAGACGCCTGAACCATTCATTTCCAAGGAGCTGACTTAGTCCTCCCCAAAACGCGTCTCCATTATGAGGACGCTCTTCCATGTCTGGATCAGGGCATTCAGGATCCGCTTCATACTTTGCTTTCCACGTCTTTAATTTGACTCTCGTCTCTTGGAATTCAGTGAAGAAGGCATCAGTTTCCGGAGTTGGAAGGCCCATCCATACAACAACAGCCCTCGCTCTGGAGTATATTTCGCGCATCAGTGGTATCTGAGTAGCTTTCTCTTCCTCATCTTCTTGATTGATGCATATCGCGTCGATCCAAATCTTTCGAGCTGTCGTATTCGTTTGGTATCGGTGTAGGTAATGTAACATCTCAAGTGCGGTGGATGTGACGACGAGAGGTCTGCCGTTGCATTTGGCTGTGACCGAGGCTGGCACACTTCCCCAGACATACGAAATCGCATCGTAACCAAGGTCTTCGGTAAGTGTGTACTGGTCGATCTCTATTTCAACGGACCCGTCGATACATTTCGTAGTGAGGAGACGTATCTGATTTTGCCGAAGTTCTTGGTGTTTGTATGAGGAGCTAGTAGACTCCGGGTTTCCGGGGTCTGTTTCCATCGCTTATTCACGTGTTTTGAGACTTCGCTGATGAGCGCGATTGGCGAAGTGAGAAGCGACGGTCCTCGAAGGCAGACTTGTCAACAATCAAGCCAGCTTGATCGCTATTAAGCTGGCGCATTAAGCTGGCTAATTAATTAAGCTAAGCTAGAGTAGAGGTACAAA